CAACTGCCACGCTAAACCCCTGGTTGCAAGAACTGTATAATCAGGTTGATGAAACAATCATCTTGAAACATATAATTTTGATGCACTTGCAGATAGGGTCTTAAACATTATCAGAAGAGCTTCCACAGCATTCTCGGATCTGAGTGCTCACTACAGATAGAGTCAGAAGTCATGGAACAGTTACTTGCAGCTGCATATGTCTCAGAACGGGACATGGAAGTTGAGGATTGGGTGGAGCAAGAGTTCACTGGAGGATTTACAGAGATACAGCAAAGGTACAGCCTCTCTGCTCGTTCTATTGTGAAACTTGCTACATGTCAGGAGCAGGCTCCTGGTGTGAGCCTTCTTCCACAAGGATAATCGTAGACTGAGCCCGTCCAAGAAGCTGTTCTTTCATATTTTAATGTATAATTAGCGTATAGTGCACCTATTTTAGGCTTCCAATCCCCATTGTTTTATTTGGGTTTCTTTGTCTAGGTTAAGATTGTATGATATGTAATCTACAGCTAGTGCTTGCGTGATTACCCTTGCATATTAGTTTTAAAATCAAAATTAGCTGGGGTTGCTTGATGTATTATTAATAAATAAACTGGTGTTTGATCAACAGAGCTTTCTAGTTTTACATTTCGTTATATGAAATATTGAAATTTCACCAAATGGCACCAAGAAAGGAGAAAGTATTTAGAAGGTGGCTTTGGCAACAGTTTATGACATATTTCGTCAGTCAGGCATTTTCTTTTTCCTTGTATGTTAAAAAAGGGAAAAACAAAATCATTGGTTCATACGTTTGCTGCAAATTATTTAATCAACATATGTAGCTTTCTTCTCTCCCTCGAGTAAGGCCCTCGAGATGTGGATGTTGCAGTAATTGTGGGAATTTCTATTATTTTCCAATTTCTAATATATTCGAGCCCAAAAGCGGTCTAATTGTTTCGACCAAAAACTAGATATAAAAGAGAAGAGGAAGTAAAGAAATCCTTATGCCAAGAAACAGCATAGGCATCAATAACAGGGACTGAGTGAGATGCGGAGATCTAGTGGTGTCCGTATTTGACCTGCTCAACCTGCAATTGAGCCTGAGCTCTGAAGGGATCCGGGCATGGCATCCGCTAGTCCGAGCCCACTCAATGATAAAAAGATGGTTAAGGACTTGACCAGGTACCCTCACTTACGGTAACCTTCTCCTTTTCTCTTAAACCATAACTTTCATTGCTTATGTGCTCATTTATTTTAATCTTAATGCATGGCTTAGCTTCTTGTTTTCAGATGTCAACAACTTCGATGCACTCCTGGAAGTTCATAATCTATGTTCTGGATGATGTCAAAAGGAAAAGTTCATGATCCAGGTCAGCAGGTGGCATTTAATCAATTTTTTTTTTAAAAAAATTAAATTCAACCTATTTGTTTCGTCTCAAAACCAGTAAATATGCTCTAACGAATCTCTCGGTGTTTAGGGTCCCCTAGTCTGAGCATTGAAGGTGCGGACCATAGTAAAGCACCGAAAAATTCTTTGTACTGTCCTCCGATGTTAACTGACTGCATGATTACAAGATGGAATATTTACTTCCCAGCAGAAAAAGGGAAGCTTGTGCTTTGCATGGACTTCCAAATGAATCATGGGATGAATCATAGAGGATGGCTTTCATTGGGTACTGTTCATAGTGATTGCTGGGTGCTCTCAATGGCCTTATGGTTTTGTGTCTCACTTAGTTAGAACAACAGGAATGAAATTACCAATAAGAGTTGATTCAGTTGGTAAGAAGTTGACACATAACCCACAAGACCATGAGTTTGAATCCTGCTACCAATGTAAGGATCTGGTTGGTAGGTGATCTGTAAGTATTTCTATAAGCGCTTTTTGAACATGGAAATATGTCTTAACCCTGATGAGTTCTCAAGACCTAACTCAACTAAACTTTTCATAAAAAAAAACACGGATGAAATCAGGACTTTCTTGCTACTGTTACTCCATTATTAACCAAAATGTAAGGAGTATATGCCACTCTTCTTTGGGATTTAGTATTGGTTATTCGTATATCTTCCTTCAGTTACCTTCAAATTTATACATACTAAGAAAAGTGGTTAAATATTAGCTAAAACATTGGAGTTATATTCTTATTAATTGTATTAAATCTTTCCGTCATATTAATTCATGCTTTCCACTACTCTTGCTTGGTAGTTCCTAATGTAGGGTATATATACAAAAAAATTATTTATGCTCTGCGTATCATCCAACCCCTCCCCCCTTGTGGGGAGCAGGGGGTGTTCATCCTCATGATATTAAGCAGAAGGACCGTGTAAAGACTGACGAATTTAACATATTATGCCTTGCAATTTCGACTGAAACACGATTAATCTCTTGTTATGGAATGCAGGCTCACGCTTGGAGCTCCACTTCTCTGCATCCTATGCAGAAGATTAGCCCAGAGCAGAAACAATGGATTGAACCACAAGAATCTGAGACAATTGAATTTGAAAGACTTGTGAATGAAGGGATTCTTAGCCACCATTCAATTATGTTGCAGTGGAAAGAGGGACTTGACATCTCAATCAAAAGCATTGGATTGAATGGAATTACCTTTACTGGTGAAAGAATCGCGGTGGGACATGGCTGATCAGCTCATGAAAACAACCGGTCCTTGCATTCCAAATTCCCCATAGGTTATCCAACAAAGATAAATTCAAGAATCATGATAGGCATCTCTCTCTCTCTGTGTATCTCAAAAGTGGAAAAGCCAGCTAATGACGTTATGTTTTTTATTGAACAGCACCCTAACAAGCAAATATGAAACAACGTACTGATCTTGTCAGGTTCTTTTCTCTGAATTTTGATTAACATCAGATCAACAGTGATTAAGCTTTGAAAAATTGAATGTACCACCCATAACCAATGGATAACGGGGTCGTCCGTAATAATAAGTAATTCTCATAAAAATATATTGTTATTTACAAATTCAGTATTATCAAAACTTATTAAATTGTTATATTCAAATTTGACTTGATCTTTAGTAATTTTAAACTTTTTTTTTCCTTATATTGTCCCATAAACTTAATTATTTGGCTTATAAAAATCTGGTGGGTCAAATCTTGCAATGCCCTTTACATGCGCGTGTATATATCAACGATTGGAGATATTTCTGTGGAAAGAATGATTTTTTCCCCCAGAAAATAAAAAAAAAAGAGTGGCGTAAGAGTGGGTGTTGGTGGAATTGTGGTAAGAGAGGGGGTCGGTGTGATATATCTGGGGGTGCCGACGCTGGGGTGATGGGCAGTGACAGGCTGGGCAATAAAAATTGGAAGGAATTAGAAAGAAATTAAAAACGTGATAATTATAATTCCACAATCAGCGCACGTGTCCTTGGACTCTGCGTGTTCCACACAACACAATGCCAATTCAATTCCCATCACTCTTTTGAAATGCGTCTTCCGACTTCATCCCTTTCACGCCACTCATCTTTCCGGTGATCTGCCTTTAAAAGAGATTTTAAAGTATACAAAATAAAACATGAAGTAGTTTGCCTCAATTTAAAAAAAAAAGATAAATAAAAGTATTTTTGGATGTTTTCAAACACTTATGAGTCACATCCCATCTTGTCTCTAATCCTATTTATAAGATGTTGTGTGATACTTAATATAAGAGCTCATTAACTAATTTAAATAACTTAAAAAAATTAGTTAAGTTAATTATTTATAATAAATAGATGTGATCTTTTTAAAAATATCCTTGCCAAATATATTAGTTTTAACATTTGATGAAATATTTAACATGTATAACTACTATAAGGACTATCTTTAAACAAATAAATAAATATAAGAGACAAAGTAGATTGATATCTTATATTTAACATCAAACTAAAAGTCAAACTAATTCCTATACTACCTGTGATCCTGAATATAAAAACTAGTTGACTAATTTGAGTAAATTAAAGAAATAGGTTAAGTTAGTTATTTGTAATAAATAAGTATTGTCTTTCCTAAAATATCCTTGCTAATCAAGTTTATTAACTAGAACTATCATTATTAGAAGGACTATTTTGAAAAAATGAATAAATATGAGAGATAAAATATATTGGAATTTCATATTTAGAATTAGAATAAAATTCAAATGAGATCTTATATTAAAGATAAAAAATAGTATTAAGAATTAGAGGTAGTATTTGACTAAGTTTAATTACTTTTCTTAGCCCATAAAAAGATTTATATATGAATAGATAGAAGAGGGGTGTGCGTATGCACACACATATACACAAAACAATTAGGAAAATCTATACAAAAAAGTTAGGGATAACTGCAATGAAATTGTAAATAAGAAATATAATTATTAAAAAATGTTAATAACAACAAAACAGCGTGCAATATACTCCTTACTTGTTATTAAAACTTACTAGTAATTACTTTCTTTTCTTAGGGCCTCGTTACAATCCTCCCAAACAATTAAACAAATAAGAGAAAAAACCCAATGATGAATAACTATAGAAACATATTATCCAGATTAGGAAAATTTTCAACAAAAAAAAATTATAGTTGAATTTTCAAAATTTGAAAAGGTCACCTAAATTTGCAAAGTTTTAAATCAGTCATAATGACAAAATTAAAATTTTAAAATGTTGATAAATTAATAATATTATTCTTTAATTTTGAAAAAAGAAACCTCAAGTCATCTTCATAGACCGATAAATATTGGTGTTAGAGTTCTAACTCTAGCGGGCCACAATCTTTTTTATTCAATTTTTAATCTTTTTTATTCAATTTTTTAAATATTGATAACGCGATTGACAACTATTATAACAATATTCACTTTATGTGATATGTTTTTAAACTTAAAAAAATTAAATTAGTGAATGCCTAACCTTAGCTATTAGGCCTAACAAAGCTTAAATATGATCCCGAAATACCATACCTCTCTCACACACACAATGAATTAGACAAGAGCATGGTTTTTTTTTTTGGGGGGGGGGGGAGGTTTAATTAATTTCACATATAGACAATAACAGAAATTAGGCTTTGTGAATCAACGTCTCAATCAGGGAGTGATAATATCGGAAGGCTCTACATTTTTTTTTTTTTGTGAATATAGATTATTCATAGGGCTCTTTTCAGGTCTCACTGGCAAATCTCCCATCAAACGACAAGCATCACCCCTTTCTACTTCATAACCTTCACCTTTCATATTTACATTCATAGCTTTTCCAATTATAAATCTCATTCCACCAACATCGCTATCCCATCCCCATCACCACGCCTTTCAATTTCATATGTCTTTTTATTTTTAATTCTTTTTTAAAAACTGTTCATACAAGTGGAGCCTATCCACATCCACAAATTAAAAAAAAAAAAAGAGCAAACAAACAAATATTAATGTAAAAAATTTGCTTTAATTACGTTCGTTGGATTATTTATTATACTCATGTTATGTGATTGTGATTACGATGTCAAACTACCATTCAGATTCAGATGTCGCCGGAAATTTGAATAAAGAAGAGTTTCAAACCAACTAAACTACCATACGTGTCAATTATTGAGCAATTCAAATGCTTATCCAATTAATAAATACTACTCCTCCTGTCCTTAATGTAAGACCCATAACTAATTTGTTAATTATAAGAAAAGTGACACATTTTTCCTAAAACACCATAATCATCTTTTTTAATACTCATCTCCCTCTTCTATTTGATTATGGTGAGGGAGTGTTTATAGGGGTAATTTAGAGAAAATTGATAAATATGATAAATGGGTCTTATATTTAGGACCAAAACCAACTCAAGAATTGGGTCTTATATTAAAGACCGGAGGAGTAGTAAGCTCTGAATTAGTTGTAATGTGACTCACAACTTCCACTATGAGACAAGAGCTAGTGATTTGCCTTTGCCTTTTGAATTGATTGGAGGACAAGTCACTAATTAAAAGCCGCACAGTAACAGTCACGTGCGTGATATAATGAAATTATTAATTAAATGATCCTTTGATTGAACATGCATGTTATTTAATTAATACTGACATCAATCTTTTTTCCTTTCTCTCTCTTATTAACAAATCCTAATAAACAGTTGATATTATTGACTTAGTTAAACCATGATTATTGTTTATAAATTATAAATATGTCATCAACGCACACTTGTTTCGACAGGTATACACTTCACTTTTCAATAATACTTTTCTGATCATTTTTATAGGACGGAGAGAAGAAAATTTTTGATTTTATTTATAGGATAGATAGAGAAAAATTTTATATGAGTGTATAATTTTACTCTTTATTTATTATTATGTTCACTTTATTCTCACGAAATATATTATATATTAAATATGAACAAAGTTAAAAAGTTATTGAATTTTAAATGTAAGTTAATGAAGTTTAAGTTTTTTATTAATCTATGTGAAACATGTTAGAAGTGACTTATAAATAAGATCGGAGAAATATAATCCTATTCATATATACACTATACAAATACATATATTGCATGCTTATCCTCCAGATCGTGACGTTTCGTAATATTTATTGAGTTCGATACTGCAGATGATGATTGATTAATCACATAATAAAATATGATATATATGTGTCAATGTGTGTGTGTGTTCACACACTCACACCCTTGAGAAATATGATATACTTTTGACCCAAAAAATGTTCTCTCTCTCCCTTGGGAGGGTAAAATTTGTGTCTGTATAAAGAAATTATTGGCACTTTGATCCTTTGAAATTATAGAGGGATTCAAACGTCATTCTATTGTGAAATTGTTGTGCTGTTTGGTAATGAGCTGTTTGTTGGAGATTGATTTGTAATTTGGATTTAATTCTTATATGTCATAATCATAATAATTTTTGTTACTCATGCCCGTGATGATCCATCATCAATTTTAATGCCATATAATTAGTTGTTCTTTGAACCTGAAAGAGCAATATATAAAGCTAATTGCCATGTTTAATTAACAGGAAATTATATATATAACCATGCGTTAGAGCTGTGTGGGGACAAAAACCACGATACCTTTATTAAAATAATAGGCGGTGTCCATATAATTAAATTCTTCCCTGTACAAACCAGAGCGGAAAAGAAGAGACTGCACTTGAAAATAAAATCTAAATTAAATATGACCTGTGAATAATATTCTGCTAACCTTAATTATGTGCATTTTATGATCAAAGAAAAATATCACTGTGGGTGAATTAATACAAAATGCAAGGGACTTTCGCTTGAGATGGGATCTAGAATATTTAAAAAGCATAATAATTATGATTATGATTATGATTATTAATCACCTCGGTGATTTTAAGGAATCAACATGAGATTTTCCACGAGGTCCCATCAACCTGATGAATAGTCTGTACTCATCGAAGGTCATCGGCTGGTAGAGCGGCGGTTGCTCCGGCGTCACCAGCTCCTTCGCCGGCTCTATCGGTATGTCGCTCTTCGGGTTGTAGAAGAACGCCAGCGACACCCTCTCCTTGTCTGAATTCACAATCACTCTGTGTTCCACGCTCTTGTATATCGCATTGCTCAGAACCTGCAGCAAAATTTTCCAGCACAAACCAAAAAAGCAAACGCTCATTATTATCCAATATAAAACTATGAATAATGATGTGATGGGACCTATTCTTATGGAAAGTGTCGAGCCTACAATGTTATCCTCCTAGGAAAAAGAATGTGTATATATCTCCTTTTTTCCGCTTGTGTGGGCTGATTTGTCTACTTTAAAACATTCTAATAATATACCGACATGCCTCCAGGTGTAAGCAGACTAATCAACTACAGAAACATTGGTATTCTCATCTTATCAGAAAAACATGCT